CAATGAGACTTGGAAAGTTTGATTTTCTGTCATCTTGATGAAGTTCTGCAGTCAGAGAAAATCAAAAAATGGTTATGAGAAAGTTAAAATGATAGGAATTTCAGAAATATACACAGAGAAATTTTAAATGCACACAACTAGCTAGAGAAAATTAGACAAGTGACGTAGCTAGCTTCAAGAAGTATCTTAACAAGAGGAAGTAGTAAGTAATTTCAGAGAAAATCAAACAAAAGAGTAGTAGCATATCAAGCTTATGCATGTGAAAAAATATGAAGTTGCTTTTTGTCCTTTTCTCTTTTGGTCAGCAAATAGGATCTCTCCATAACCATCAATGACCTGAAAAATATCATTTATAATTGTAACATTGGTTTATAAAGGCTGATGGAACATTGCAGAGAAATTTGATGAAAGACTTACATTGTTGGCAATTTCTTTTTCCTTTATTAGGCTTCTGATATCTTCAAAAGTAATGAGATTCAACTCACTTGTCCAAATAAGAATAAGAAGGTTTCAAATCTCTCCTCTCGTAGGAGTCCTCTCGTGTCATGTACAAGGATAACTCTCCTGGTGTGGGGGTTCTTTGATTACGAGTGTGGGTAGGAAGTTCTAGATCGTGCTAATGGCGGAGTCTCTCTCTGATCTGGCGAGGAGACTCGTATTGACGGAGGAGGAGGAGGAAGTGGAAGTTGTGGCGGAGGATGCCCATCTTCAGCCCACGGAGGCGAAAGCGGGGCTTTGTCTGGTGGGTAAACTTCTTACTACGCGCCCATTCAATTTTGAGGCGCTACGGACTACATTGACTACGATTTGGAGAGCATCTAAAGGGATCGAGTTCAAGACATTGGGTGCTAACTTGTTTTTGATCCAGTTTGGTCATATTGTTGATAAGAAGAGAGTGATGCTAAATGGCCCATGGAATTTTGATAACCAGTTAGTTATGTTGAAAGAGTTTAATGGGGATTTACAACCGCTGGACATCACCTTCTCTACTATGGCGTTTTGGGTTCATGTATCCAATCTTCCTCTTATTAGCATGACGCGGGATGTGGGAATTTTGCTGGGCAATCAAATCGGGAGTTTTGTCGATATGGAGTATGGAGATGGTGGTATTGCTTGGGGACGAACTCTCCACCTTCGGGTAGAGATCAATATTGCCAAACCACTTAGGCGGGGTTTGAAATTGACCTTACCTGGGCGACAGTCGGTGTGGGTTACACTCACATATGAGAAGCTCCCAAATTTTTGTTTTCATTGTGGTTTGCTTGGTCACAGTGTTCGTGACTGTGCGAACAAGATATTGGGAGGTGAGAAAGAGGATGGGGCACCGTTGCAGTATGGGACTTGGCTCCGGGCAGAGCCCATACGAGGACGAAATCAAAGGGACCACCATTTTACACAAGGGAGGAGGAGGGAGGATGAAGGGAGCTCCAAAATGGTATCGGAGGATGTGGAGGTGTAACAGCGTGGTCACGGGGAGGGCTCGACTCATAGCTTTGTTCCGGTGACAGCTGAGAATTGGCGATCGGAGCAGGCCACTCTGGGTAAGGTCAAATATAACAAGGTTCAATCTGCTCCCCCAAACATAGGGATTGCTAGTATTTCGGCAGATTTGGTGACCTTATTGGGCGGTATGGGGGGGGTGATCATTCTTTGGCGCCAAGGTCAGATATTCAAATTACGGAGGGCTGGGGTGGGAGGGACTTTGACTTGAATGAGCCTGATATGAGGAAGGGTTTGGAGGTGGGGCATATTGGGAAGATAGGGGAAAGGCTTGAGGGGCCGACGCTTGGGGGCTTAGGGGATCAGGATGGGCCCAAGCATTGTGGGTTGGTAAGGCCAATTGTGGACGCTTTTGTGAGCCCTGAGATTAATATGGGTACATCTTCTAAGGGCCCAATAAAGGTGGGGAAAAAGTGAAAAAAGCTGGCACGTAATATTACACCACCGGTGGAGCAGAGGGCGTTAGCCGCTGGTTGTACGATGAAGCCTGTGGGGAAGAGGGAGAGGGGGTTCTGTAATGAGTCCTCGGGTTCTTCCGATGTCCGCAAACGGGTGAAGATTATTGAGGGTATGCTACAACATGGTTCATCTCTCCAATTAACGGTGGAGGCTGCTGGGCAGCCCCACCGATCACGATGAAATGCCTCAGTTAGAACTTTCGTGGGCTTGGGAACCCGCGAACAGTTCGAAATCTTCAGCTTTTGCTGAAGGAACAAGCGCTTGATATGGTCTTTCTTATGGAGACAAAGTGTGTGTCGAGCAAGATGGAGTGGCTTCGCTGTAAACTTGGTTTGGCTAGGGGTTTGTTTGTCGATAGGATGGGATTGTCTGGGGGGCTAGCATTGTTCTGGAGAATGGGAGTGTCGGTGTCTATTCGTAGCTACTCCAGTGGGCATGTCGATGCTGTTGTGGAGTCGGACGGGGGGATTGGAAACTGGCGTTTTACGGGGTTCTATGGTCATCCGGAAGTCGTGAAAAAATGGGATTCGTGGGAGTTGCTTCGTCGCTTGGGCGGCTTAGATGATCTACCTTGGTTGGTGGTGGGAGATTTCAACGAGATTTTGTTACCTTCAGAGAAGTTGGGTTTGGAAGACCAAAGCAGAGCCCAGATTGACGCCTTCCAGCATGCTCTTTCGGGTTGTTCGTTAGCTGATTTGGGATTTTTCGGGCCCTATTTTACGTGGTGCAATAATCGGCCATCTGGGTTGGTACATGAACGATTAGATCGTGGAGTGGCTAATGATGCTTGGCTCGCCATTTTTCCGAAGGCTAGGGTGGTTCATCTCACTTGTACGACGTCGGACCACATGCCAATTCTGGTTGACTTGTTGGGGCCGCAAGTGTGTCCGAGTGGGCAGAGGTGGCGACAACGTATCTATCGTTTTGAGGCGATGTGGCTCCGTGATGGTAGATGCGAGGAGGTGGTCAAAACTAATTGGGTTTGTGCTCAAGAAGGTAGTATGGCTCAAGAGGGAAGTATGGCTGGATTACGGCTTACTGTGGAGAAGATGGGTTCTTGCTTAGCCCAGTGAAGGAGGACTACGTTTGGTCATGTCCAACAGTTATTGTGGTCTAAGTTGAATGAGGTGCGGCGCTTGGAGGGTCTGTCCGTGCTCTCTCGGGACGAGTATGGAAAGCGCATGCAGCTATGTAGTGAGATTGATGAACTCTTGGAGAGAGAGGAGACTTTGTGGTGCCAAAGAGCGAGAGCGAATTGGCTGAAAGAAGGCGATCGGAATACCTCTTTCTTCCACTCCAAAACGTCACAAAGGCATAAGAAGAAGAGGATTAATGGGCTTCAAGATGATCATGATAGATGGTGGTCTACACTGGAAGATTTGGAGCGAATTGTCGTGGGGTATTTTGCGGAGCTGTTTGATGCAGGGCAACAGTGTGATATTGGGGAAGTTTTGGCTTCCATTCACGTTGTCGTTCCACCCGAGAGGAATGTCGAGGTAGCTCGACCATATACCGCAGAGGAGGTGTCATACGCTTTATTTCAGATGCATCCTACGAAAGCCCCGGGCCCGGATGGCAAACCAGCGTTATTCTATCAACGGTTTTGGCCGATAGTCGGGGCACAAGTCACACGGGCGGTGTTAGGCGTTCTTAATGAAGGCAAGGCGGTGACGGCTATGAATGACACATTTATTGTGTTAATTCCAAAAGTGAAGTCACCCAAACGGATGGCTCAATTTCGGCCAATAATTGGGGAGATTCTTAAAGTGAACTTCGATGGGGCCATGTTCATGTGGCAGAAGGTCTGTGGGGTAGGGGTGGTGATTCGGGATCTCAATGGCGTTCCTGTTGCAGCTTTATCGGAGCAAATTCCACAATGGATGGAGAGTGATTGTATTAAAGCTATTGCTGCTGTCAAGGCTTTGGATTTTGTAACAGAATTGGGATTAACAAACATTCACTTGGAAGGTGATTCCCTTACTGTGGTCAAGGCTATGCGAGAGGATGGTTATCTTAATGCTTCGTTTGGTCATTTTTTACAATATGCCATTGATCGTAGTAAGCAATTTGCGAGCTTCTGTGTTTCGCACACGCGCCGGAGTGGCAATGTAATGGCTCACCATTTGGCTCAAATGGCTAAGGAGGATCCGGAGAAACGAGTTTGGATGGCTGGGGTTCCTGAGCATTTAGTGCAGGTTTTGTTGAGTGATGTTCCTGTTTTGTAGGGGCTCATGACTTCCACTTTCTAAAAAAAAAAATGTTGACATGCATTAATTACACACCACTATTTAATGTTGACATACATTACACACAAAAATTAAACATGTTTCTTTATTAATTGTCATTATGTTTTGGTTGTTTCCATGTATTCAAATGTTGACTATACGTGATAATGTGAATATCCACATTAGATGACGTGAATGTGAATGTTCACATCAGATGACGTGAATGTTCACATTTTAGTGTGAACATTCACGTCATGTTTATATTCAAATGAAAGTTGAAACTTGTAATTGTGTAATTTGATGCAATGCTGATGTAAACATTAACATCATATTTATCACAATGTCATCTGATATGAACATTCACATTCACGTCATCACATACAGTTAACATTTGGATGCATAGGAACTACCAAAAACATAATGACAATCAATGATGCATGAAAACTATAAAAACATAATGACAATTAATAAAAAATCATATTTAATTTTTAGTGTGTAATATATGTCAACATTAAATATTAACTGCATTTTTTTGAAGTGAAGATATAATGACAATCAACATTAAATATCAACATTAATAAGGGTATGAGAGATTTAGGATATTTTGGTCTTCTTACCTCAAATGAGACTTAATAGAATAGTCAAAATATGAGTTGAATGAAAAAAAAACTCTTAAAAAGAGAACTTATCAAAAAGCTCCATTTTTAAATTGCACTTTCTAGATTTGGCATAAGATTATTCCACCATTTTTCACAAGTTATGTTAGGTACTTAAGAATTTTTATGTGATGGATGTGGGGATGCAGCAGAAACGGTAATGCACGTTTTATGGGAATGTATGAGGGCACGGGAGGTCTGGCTTCAAAGTCCGATATCGTTTGTGCTTGATCATGGTGTTGGTGGCGATTTTATGGGATGGGCATATGGTGTTAGACGTCGGACGGATAGTGTCACACTGGGTTTGTTTTTCGCTCTTTGTTGGGGGTTGTGGTCATCGCGGAATCAAGCTCTTTTTAGTAATGCCATTCACTCGGCTGCCGTGATAGTTCAGATGGTGTGTGATTTAATGCGAGATTTTGAGCGGGTTCATTCCAACGTGAGTGGGATTCCAGTGGCTCATGGAATTGCAAAGTGGAGACCGCTGATTGGGGAGATTCTTAAAGTGAACTTCGATGGGGCCATGTTCATGCGGCAGAAGGTCTGTGGGGTAGGGGTGGTGATTCGGGATCTCAATTGCGTTCCTGTTGCAGCTTTATCGGAGCAAATTCCACAATGGATGGAGAGTGATTGTATTGAAGCTATTGCTGCTATCAAGGCTTTGGATTTTGCAACAGAATTGGGATTAACAAACATTCATTTGTAAGGTGATTCCCTTACTATGGTCAAGGCTATGCGAGAGGATGGTTATCTTAATGCTTTGTTTGGTCATTTTTTACAGTATGCCATTGATCGTAGTAAGCAATTTGCGAGCTTCTGTGTTTCGCACACGCGCCGGAGTGGCAATGTAATGGCTCACCATTTGGCTCAAATAGCTAAGGAGGATTCGGAGAAACGAGTTTGGATGGCTGGGGTTCCTGAGCATTTAGTGCAGGTTTTGTTGAGTGATGATCCTGTTTTGTAGGGGCTCATGACTTCCACTTTCTAAAAAAAAAAAAAAAAAAAAACAATCTCATTTGTCCTTAAAAATATTTTTTAAATTAAAATATATAATAAATGGGTCAATTTAAGCTACAATGCAAGCAATTTAAAAAAATAAAAAAGAAAAAAGAAGGTTGATATGGAAATTTACCCAATAAAACTGATATGGAATATTTATTTGACAAATTGTAGTTGAAAAGCTTTTTCAAGAAAGTTTTATTGAACACTTTTTTTAAGAAGTACTACTAAATGTTTTGTTTTATAAAGTAAAAAAAAAATTACTTTTGCCTAAAACAAAAAATAGGGCAAATTATATATACTTGCCTCGAGATTTAGCTAAATTACAGATACCCTCCTGAGGTTTCGAAAATTATAGATACCCCCCTAAGGTTTATATTTTCATAACAAATTGTCTCATGAGATTTATATTTTCATAACAATTTGCCCCCTAATTTGTTATGCAAATAGTACCTTCAGGGGGTATCTGTAATTTCTCAAATCTCAGGGGGTATCTGTAATTTTGCCAAATCTCGAGGGGGTATATGTAATTTGCCCCAAAAAGTAATATGAAAATGATAGGCATTTTGGAATTTTCGGATGGGCTACTAATATACTATGGCCTCTTTTGAGAAGTAAGTTAAAAGTCATTTCTTAACTTTTTAACTCATATATTATCTCTTACATTTTTTGCACATTTTTTAAAAAAAAGTCAAAAAAAAATAAAAAAGACAGCTTTTAACCATGTGGACAATATTGCCCGGAATGACCAATTTGGACGTCCAAATGGATAGGCCCATAATTGTGGGCTTATTGGGCTCTCCTCCTTTAGTTAATTAGCCCAAAGTAGTTTTGGCCTTAACATTGGATAATTAATCCAGATGATTGGGCTTTCCTTCAAATGGATGGGCCCAGAGTAGTAAGCAAGAGACTGAAGTGAAGTCCTAATCTTGAACACACCAACTCCCCCCCAAAAAAAAAAAGAAAAAAAGAAAAGAAAGTGAAGTACCCATTCATTGGATCCAAACAACTAAATTCTCTAGCCCAGGGCTGCATTAAAATATTATTTTCAAAAAAATACAAAACAACTGCACTACTTTCTTAAAAAAATTTAAAAAATACAAAAGTTTGGAATATGGTGCATGTTGTGCTTTAAGGCACACGAGAGAGTGTTGCCCCTTTCGGTGGGATCTATTCCGGATTCACTTTGGTGATCTAAATAATTTATTTTGTACAACTTGATAAGAAAATCATTTATTTACAAAGAAATTAAATTGATTATCTATTGATGACCTCATAAACGAATTATGTTTTTAGTATAATTTCCAATATGAATTTAGATTATTTTGCAAAGAATTATATCATATCTGTTAGCACCATAAATCTGTGATTTTTATTATTATTTATTATTTATATAATTGCAGGACATGTGGCATCCTCCTACTCATTTGGAGTTATGTGGCATTATGGGAATGAAGATGGAAGAGTGGGTAGTTTTAGGTGGTTATTGGGTAGTTATTGCTGAAAGTTTTTTTCTACAAATATTTGTCTAAAAATAGCCATTCATGGCTACATTGTAAAGGATCCAGAATTCATAATCAAAGACAATTGATTTCAATATTTTCTTGTCATTTTCCTTATCTTAGGAGTAGTTTAACATAGATTTATATTTCGAAGCATTTATTTCAAGTATTTCCTTTTCGAAGCATTTTATGCACTTCCTTTTCGAAGCATAGGAGTAGAGGTAAGTAATTATTACTTTGATTGTTTACTCAATTGTCTTTCTCTATCCCTCTTTCTTCTTTTACTTTTTCTTTTCTCTACACTTAACAATTTTGAAGTCCTCTTCGTTGAGGCAAAAGAACCGTCAACACAATCGCTTGATAATTGGCTTAAATTTAATCTGTAAGGATTTTTCAATCTTTGCTGGCACGTTCGCAATTACAAAAATAACTTTTGAAAGCAAAAAAGCCAACATATATTTTTGGCACGCCCGGTGGGACGTCAAGTGTAATAAATGAAAAATAAATTGGATTTGTCCATTTCAAATAGCCTAGATAAAATTTATTGGCGTAAACAAGAAATTTTGGATCTTCAAGAAGAGATCCATTTTCTTGATGAAATAAATTTCCATCTCTTACAATATTATTTAGTGGAAGAAAAAAGACACCATTTTATTGGAGAAATTCATTAACTTGATATGGAAATTCGCCAATGGAATGATGAGTTATCGACTCTCACTACCAAGTCTTTAACTGAGGCCTTAATGGCCGGAATTGGTGAATTTTTTTAGAATTTTTCCATGGTTAAAAATAGCAAAAGTAAAGAGTTGATTTCATCAATGGCTCAGGGGTTCAAGAGTCCATTTTTAAGAGCCAAATTATGAAATTAACATAACAAAAGAGCATGTTCTTGAGCCAAATTTGGCTAAGAATGATGTTCCATGCATGGCTCAAGGGGTCTCAAAACCAATTTTTAGAGAGTCAAGTTATGAAAATAACATATCTATGGGTGATTTTCATAAGCCATTAATGGATAACATGGAAAAACAACCCACTTTGCCAAATAATTATGAAAATCTATTCGACAAAAGTCATGTTTTTAAAACAAACATGGTCAAAAATAATGAACAAGCCACTGTTCATGAATTCAAATTTTTGGACATTTTTCAAAATGTCAAAAAGTATAAATTTTCATGGTCACACTATACCATGACTTTTGTTGTTCGAAATCCATTTTGGATTTGTGGATCACATCAAACGTTGACTTTGATGGAATGGCTAACAAATAATATTTTGTTATTGCAATATATCGAGCTAAAAATGTTGTTATTAGTTGATCCATAAAACCATCACCATTTGGTTTTGTGGTTACCTTCGAAGCATGTCTCAAGACACTTCGAAATAGATTATTCATTGAAATATCATTTTATAGCCATTAATGGCTAGTTAAAATGCCAAACTAATTTCATAATAATCCAACTCTTTGGACTTAGTTCGAAGAGATGTCGTGAGCACTTTCGAAGGACGACTTTGATCCTATAGTAACATATGTGACTTTCGAATGGTGGTTTTGTTATCAATAAACACCTTCGAAATGTAACATGGGGCAAGAAAACTTTTTAAATGTGTATATCTCTTCAAATATATGTAAAATGGCAATTAATTAGTTGTCAAATAATGCCTATTTTGGCATGATAAGTTGGTTCGAAGAACAACAATTTTGGTGTCTTCGAAGAATTAATAATTAGTTCGAAACACAAAATTAATAGTTTCATGAATTATGTATGAACCAGAATATACAAAATTTGAATAACCACAATGTTAGCCAAAAGTTGCTTCGAAGGCCCTTTTGCCATAATTTTGTAAGTTTCGAAGCACTCCATCTTGCATTAACAGCTTCGAAGAAACAATAATGGTGGTTGTGAACCTTCGAAACTTTACCGAGTATTTTCAAGGATGTAATTTGTCCTTTGTCAGCATTTTCAACCTTCGAAAGATGATTTTGGTCCTTTATACCACATTCTAAACTTGTTACTAGTCCATAATAGCTAGCATTCGAGACATCTAGTCATAATTTCATACTCATTCGAAGCACTTTATTGACATTATTCGAAGCACTTTATTGCTTAGATTAGTCATGTGTTTGGTTCGGCCCTTCAAAAATTCAAGTAAACATCATTTTTAAGGTCTACGGGGGGTAATGTTAGCACCATAAATCTATGATTTTTATTATTATTTATTATTTATATAATTGCAGGACATGTGGCATCCTCCTTCTCATTTGGAGGTTATGAGAAGTTATGAAGACATGGAGGGTTATGTGGCATTATTGGAATGAAGATGGAAGAGTGGGTAGTTTTAGGTGGTTATTGGGTAGTTATTGCTGGAAGTTTTTTCCTACAAATATTTGTCTATAAATAGCCATTCATGGCTACATTGTAAAGGATCCAGAATTCATAATCGAAGACAATTGATTTCAATATTTTCTTGTCATTTTCCTTATCTTAGGAGTAGTTTAATATAGATTTATATTTCGAAGCATATTTAAGTATTTCCTTTTCGAAGCATTTTATGCACTTCCTTTTCGAAGCATAGAAGTAGAGATAAGTAATTATTACTTTGATTGTTTACTCAATCGTCTTTCTCTGTCCCTCTTTCTTCTTTTACTTTTTCTTTTCTCTACATTTGACAATTTTGAAGTCCTCTTCGTTGAGGCAAAAGAACTGTCAACACAATCGCTTGATAATTGGCTTAAATTTAATCTGTAAGGATTTTTGAATCTTTGCTGGCACGCTCGCAATTACAAAAATAACTTTCGAAAGCCAAAAAGTCAACAATATCGCTCTCATATTGCAAAATAATCTAAATTCAAAATAACTGCAGATTATGTTTCTAAATTCATCAATAACATGCATAATAGCTACAAAGAAAAATATATTCTCAACTCTTTCAACTGAATGAATTGGAATTGAATCAACTCATGATAATCCCAACATTCACTTAAACGAAACAGTCTTGACAATCATACACGTAAATTTATGTTCCTCATAAAGAATGTTGTTCATATGTATACATGCTCAGTTTATTCACACAAGTTATTGGCTCAAGAAGCAAAAAATTACTACTCATGTATCACCTGGTAGGTTTAGATTTGGATTTTGACATATCTGAGCCGAATCCAATCCATTTATTGGCATAGTCGAACAGTTAGATGATTAAAAATGAG